CACGCGCCACCATGCCCAGCTAATTTTTTGTATTTTTAGTAGAGACGGGGTTTCACCATGTTGACCAGGATGGTCTCGATCTCTTGACCTCGTGATCCACCCGCCTCGGCCTCCCAAAGTGCTGGGATTACAGGCTTGAGCCACCGCGCCCGGCCTCAGTACCCACTTTAATTCTTTTCCAGTGAGAAGGGAGAGGACTCACTATCCTGGGACCTCCTAAACACAGAACCCCCAATGGCCTGAGCATTCCTTCCCTTTGGTTTCTCATTCTATTCAAACTCTCCTTCATCGTGATCAAGACCGCCCTCCGCCATAGTTTCACTACCCTTCACGCCTTCATTTTTTTTCTTACACTTTCAAATTCACATAACTAAGCAATTATTACATTGACTTTGGCACTATTCCTCGGAGCCATCTTCCTATAAATCTCTGGAACAGTAACTGCAACTGTTAAGAACGCATTAAAAGTTGACACCCAGCCGGGCGCGGTGGCTCACGCCTGAAGTCAGTAGTTCCAGATCAGCCTGGCCAACACGGTTTAATCGCATCTCTACTAAAAGTACCAAAATTAGCAAAGGGTGGTGGCGCGCGCCTGTAATCCCAGCTACTCGGGAGGATGAGGTAGGAGAATCACCTGAACCCGGGAGGTGGAGGTTGCAGTGCGCCCAGATCGCGCCACTGCACTCCGGCCTGGAGGACACAGCAAGACTCTGTCTCAAAAAAAGTTGACACCTAAAAGCAACGTAGCTTCAAGGCAAGAGGTCTGACGATGGCTACCTTCGACCCAGTGTCACCGCGACCAGTCATGACACAAGCCCAAGTTCACAACAGAAATCCTGCGCACGCAAAGTTCTAGCCCTTCTCCGGGGCACTAGGGAGGCTCAGGCTAATGAAACCACCACGGCACCATCTCTTCCCGAGTCGGAGGGCGGCAGAACACACTAACAGGCGCGGGAGCCCCAACTCACCCTGCTATCTTGTTGCGGAGCTTCTTGCTAGGGATAATGGCGATCTCCTCGCACACGCGCTTGTTCGTGTGGAAGTCGTTGCCCAGGCGCGTGTAGTACTTTTCTATGATGACCCGGGCCGCCTTCTTCACGGTTTTGGTGCGAACGCGGCCCTGCGGGTGGAGAGGACAGGCTCACTCACGAGCCAACGCAACCTTCTGGGAAGAGTGCGACGCCGAGCCCCAGCGGGAGTGGTTGGAGGCTGCCGGCTGCGCTGAGTCGGAGAGGGCCCGGTTGGGCAGTGCGGGCGCCGGGCTCAATGCGGAAGCCGCTGGCCCGCTGCGCTCCAGCCTGACAGGGCCCCGCGCCCGCCCGGTCCAGGGCCTCTCTTTGTGGGCTGGAGTCCACGGGAAACTCCAGATGGAGGACGATTGAAGAGGATGGCGGCCTCGGGCCAAAATACCTACCATGTTGGCGGGTCCTTAGCGAAAGAGGAAACCGGAAGCACAAGCGAGGCCTATTAAAGCTTAGGCCAGAGAGCCGCTTCCGCCCGGCCCCGGGCGAGCTGAACCTACTTGGGAGCCACACAGCGGCCCCTGGCGGAGCGGGCCGGGAGCGGCGGCGGCGCGCCCCTCCGGAGGGCGGGTTATCTGTCCCGCCCCCGACGGCTCCTCCCTTTCCGCTTCCCGCCCCCGCTTGGTTGACCTGTTCGCTTCTCTCCCCTGATTTCTAATCGGACCGCCCGTGTGATGTGCTCTATCCGAGGAGCGGTCCATTTCTTCCACACATGCCAGGGAGAGGAGAGGCATCCGGTCCTCGGGAGGATCGAGAAAGGAAGGCGATCCAGGGTCGTGGAACAATGAGGAAGTCAGGGATGGCGGCCACCCAGACCCCCAGCCAGTCCGCGGGCCAAAGACTTGTAAGCCCTCACCAGGATATAGGGTGCGCCCGGGGGAGGCATATCTCATTTCCGGGTCTTTGCTCAAATGTCGCCTTATCAGAGGACTTTCCCTTCAAACTTAGGTATAACAACTCCCTCACTATTCCTGCTCTTGTATTTCCTAGCACTTGGCACGTGACTCGGCTTAGTTTTCTCATCTAGGGGTATCTCCATGACAGTAAGGGTCTTTTTGTTTAGCCAATTCCCAGTGCTTGAATAGCGCCTAGCACGTAGCAATCTCTCCAATATTGAAATGAAGGGCCCAAGTCACCTGCAGAGCTCTCAACACTTCAGGCACCTTCTCCACCCACCGTCTTCAGGCTGTTCCTGCCATACCCATCCCCAAACCAGGGCCTTCGGAAGCCGCCAGCGCAAGCTGCCCTGATGAATCGCAGCCTAGGTAGGGCCCTGCCCCCTTCTTCCAGCTCTGCTCCCTGGGCTGACCTAGGCCCCACACCTGACAGGGGAAGGCTGCTGGCCAGGCTGGATGAGTTAAGCCGCCCAGGGCTGTGCCTCATTCCGCAACGCACCTTGGGTACTCAGTCAGACTCTCAACTGATTGAGGATGGAACCTGAAGAACAGGAAGCCCTCACCCCAAAGGTAGCACTGGGGCAAAAGAAAAGGCCAGAATCTCAGAATTGCAGGAGCAAACTTCCAGTCAAGCTGCTGTCAGGCCCGAAGTGAAAGATCAGGCTTTTTCTGGCGAGATGGGGTCTTGCTCTGTTGCCCAGGCTGGAGTGCAATGGTGCCGTCTGAGCTCACTGCAACCTCGGCCTCCCAAGTTCAAGTGATTGTCCTGCCTCAGCCTCCCGAGTAGCTGGGATTACAGGTGAGTACCATCACGCCTACCACGCCTGGCTACTTTTTTTTTTTTTTTTTTTTAGCAGAGACAGGGTTTCGCCACGTTGGCCAGGCTGGTCTCCAACTCCTGACCCTCAGGTGATCTGCCCGCCTAAATGGCCAGCCTTTTTGAGACACGGTCTTGCTCAGTTGCCTAAGATTTAGTGAAGTGATATGCTAATAGTTCACTGCTGCCTCAATTTCCTGTTCTCACATGATCCTCCTGCCTCAGTCTCCCCAGTAGCTGGAACTACAGGCACATACCACGATGTCCAGCTTTTTTTGTTGCCCAGGCTTCTTATGTTGCCCAGGCTGGTCTCAAACCCCTAGGGCTCAAGTGATTGTCCCTGCTGCAGCTTCCCACAGTGCTGAGATTATAAGCGTGAGCCACTGTGCCCAGTCTAGCCTCTCCTTTAGTGAGGAGACTCCCCCACCCTTCCCAAAAGTTCTTGCACCTCTTTCAGAAGAGACAGCTTCAGTATGCAGGGTTCCCTCTACCTCAACCTAAATTGGAGTTTTCCAAAGAATCAGTCCAACAGCTGGGCCTAGGCCAACTTGACTGAAAAACAATCAGTAGTACACTCTGTCACAAATCCTAGGAGCTCTAAGAAAGTTCAGTTGATAGGGTTCTCTGAACTGCAAAATCCCAATCACTTCCTCTCAGAAAGGAACTGGGTGATCATAGGTGGGCAGAAGAGGATGTGCGGCCTCCCAAGAAGTAATAGGCCAAGGCTTGCAGGAGAACCTGTGAACAAGTGGCTTCTACTGGCACGTGAGCAGCTGCCCCTCCAGCATTCTCCAAGCTGGGTCTGGAGGCTGCGAGGACCCCTGAGAAGCTAAGATGTGAGGACTTTTTGTATTTGGGCTAGAAGCACCCACCCACTGGAGAGGCATCTCCAAAGTATAGCTGACCATGGAAGGGACCAAGAAGTACTCACAAGCCAGGTCTCCCACATGGTCACACCATTATCCTGTTCCAGGATCCCATGACAGAAAATCCAAGGAAACAAGCTGCGGCTGCGCCATTACCCTCTTATTCCCCTGTCAGCCCCTTGCTTCCAGACCTCAAACAGAGACAAAACCAGAACTCTGCTGCAACGTGTTTATTATGTGCCAAAAAAACTACACCACAGCTTACTCCACACATCTGTAGGAGAGTGCAGTCTTGCCTGCATATACTACAATGAGGTAGAGACTTCACACACAGCTTCACAAAACCCACAGAGTAGCTGGGATATGCAACAATGCAACATCAGCTCAGCAGGAAGGAGGGGTTATGACACTGGTTCTTTGGCACACAGCTTCCCTAGGAGGGGCAAGTAGTTTTTGTTTTTTCTATTTAAAAAAAAAAAAGGAAAGAAAGAAAAAAGTCAAGTTTTCAAATTCCAGTAGCATTTCAGTCAACTGCAACTGTTATCTCATAGGTTCCTCAAATTAAAGATATAAAGGAAGGGTACTTGCCCCCCTAAGAGAAAGGGCTCCTGTGAGCCTTCATCTGCCCTCACCAAAAAGCAGCCCTTTTTAGCTCAGTTACAAAAGAAAAAAGTCCTGTGACTTTGTGATTAAAAACTTCTATCAACCCCCCCCCCACATAAGTGCAACTTAAGGAGGTGCAATAAACCATTTAAAACTATATACAACAGCCGCTCAAACACCGTTTATCCGGTCCAGTTTCAAATAAAACAAAAAATTTTTTTCTTGGTTGCAAATGCCTTGATTTGCAACTGTGAGAAACAGTGACCAGCAGTCCCCCAGACACAAATTTGCTATAATGTTAAAAGCTGCCAGGAAAGAAAAAATCTCTTGTTCCAAACGACTTAAAAACTGTTTTAAGGAGTGTAAAAAGGAACCGGTAAAAACCCTCGAGCGTAAAATATGAAATATGATTTTGGTTTAAATGAAGAGCAAAGTCTCCTTGTTGTTTACAGTAAAAAACACCAGCTGAACACTCAGTTTATGCCGTTCAGGTGGGGGTTAAATAAATGGAAAGGCACTGTATGGCAACTGCAAGAATGAAACCAATGAGACCTGCGCATCATCACCATCAGTATTGCAAGGAATGTAAAAAAGCGCTTTTAATAAATAAACCTAGGTGTAGGCATCCGTGTCAATACTTTCTGGACACGTAGTTTTTGTTTTTTTTCTTTTTTGTTTGCTTTTCATCGGCAAAATGAGGAACTAAAATCTGGGAAAACTACAGAGTCGCTTGAAGGGTAAGCCAGAGAGTCCTTGCCCTTGGCACACCCCCAGAAAACAAAACCCGACAAAACTCATTGTGCATTAATTAGTGCAGAAACAAAGACAGATTCAGCAAGTGCAAAGGTGACTACAATTTTCCCTTGTCCTCGGGAAGCCAGCTCCCTGGTCGCCAGTGGCAGGTGGTGCAGGCTGCTTGCCTGACCTGCCAGCTTTGGGCGCCACAGGCCACTGGGCAAGGCCAGCTCCTCTAGCTGGAATCTCTGTTCTTCTGGTTCCGCATCAGGGGGCTGTGATGGCGCAGGCCCTCCATGCTGTGCCGCCAGTGCCAGCAGCTCCGGCAGAAGTACTTGAAGCAGACCTGGGTTGGGAGAACAAAACAAAGGATGCCATGCCTGTGTCAGCACCGGACACCGGAGCTGTGAGCTGCTTGCTCTGTTTGGAGAAGGGGTGGGAAACTCCTGATGGCCTCTGTGGGTTAGAAGAGATGGTTCCTAGGAGCACTCTCACCCCAACACAAAAGCCTGATTAACTATGGCAAACCCACCATCCTGCTTACAAGTCCCCTTAAACATGTTGAGCTCCTAGTATGTACAGAGCCCATGCTAGTTTCTCTTATCCCTTCTAACCATGACAGCTGCTCTCCTATTCCCCTGCCCTTCTCACCTCCTACAGAGTAGTTGTATCACATGGCGCTAACATGGAGAATGTATAAAGACACTGACTACAAATTCTAATGCTACGCAACATGCTGCCTTCTTCCCACTAAGTGAGGAGAGGTGACTGGGTTTCTCAGTCTAGTCCCATCTCTTGCTTGTTGTGTAACCTCAGGCAAGCCACTAATCTCTGAGCAATTATCTGACTATGAAGATTATCTATGAAAGATCCAGATCCATAAAAGCCTGCTAGAAGAGGCATCAGAGAGATACTTGTTCTCAGGCTTTACCTAACAATCCAAACTTAATTTCAAACGGTCACTTGAGAGCCTCAGTTTAACCATGTACAGAGACTCCACATCTGAACAATGGCATCACTGCAAAAATTCTAAAAATAAAATTAAAAAAGCACCCCACTAAGCATGGATGGGACTAGGTGGTATCCTAAGATGCCCCTACCCTAATACAAACTTCCCCTAACACGTGACAAAGGATGCTGCTGACTAGCAGCACTAACACCGCTTGGATACTTGTTGGAAACATAGAATCTCAGGATCAGTGGAAACCCACCAAATCAGAATCTGCATTTAAACAAGATCCTCAGGTGATGTATCTGAAATTAAGGTTTGAGAAGCACTGCGAAACACATCCAGATCCATGCTCCACCATTCAGAAACAGTCAACAGAAAGCAGGCTCGCTGCTTTCTGCCTGTTGCTGACACCTGTGGGAACAGCCCAGGTGCAAATATCAAAGTAGTCTAGTAGTTCAGATGTAAAGGAGGAGGCCCTTGAGTAGAAAAAAATAAGCTTAGAAGGCCTCAGGGTTAGAGCAGCTGAGCCTGGCTCCTAGGTACTGCTGAACACACCCAGGCAGGCTTCTATCATCTACAAATAGTGGCATACTGCATAGCAACATCCCAGGCAGAAAAAGGCCAAAGTATAAAGACTCAATTCAACATGTTTTCCCAAAAGTTCTGGGTCAAGCTATCCAAAGTGTGTCACTGGTCTGACCCTCAGCAAACCTTACTGCTCCTCCTCTATGCTTTCAGATACCACAAGGTACCTCAGAACTCCAACATACCATGTCATGATCTTGGCATAACAATTTTTAATTGAGGGCAGGGACATCATAGACGTCGGACCCACCTGATCTCGACAGAAGAAAGGACCAGGCTGAGAACTGCAGATATGACACAGAGAATCTTCCAAGTAAGGGTCAATCTGAACCTGCACAAAAGCAAAAGAAGATGATGAAGTGTCTCTTACCAGGAGGATTGATAGGTATAGAAGGGCACATTACTGGGCAATACACAGGAATGTGGGATATCTGAATACAGGATATCTCCTTTTTTTTTTTTTTGAGACAGTCTTTCTCTGTCACTAGGTGCCAGGCTAGGGTACAGTGGCACAATCTCAGCTCACTGCAACCTCTGCCTCCCAGGTTCAAGCAATTCTCCTGCCTCAGCCTCCCGAGTAGCTGGGACTACAGGCACACACCACCACGCCCAGCTAATTTTTGTATTTTTTAGTAAAGAGGGGGTTTCACCATGTTGGCCAAGATGGTTTCAATCTCTTGACCTCGTGATCCGCCTGCCTTGGCCTCCCAAAGTGTTGGGATTACAGGAGTGAGCCACCACGCCTGGCCTGATATCTACCTGTTTTAAAGGAGGCTTGGAGAGAATTATGGGCCAGAAGTGCAGAAAGGGATTCTAGAGGACAGACTCATACACCACGCAGAGCCAGGCTGGATGCCTCCAGGATTCAGGCAATCACACATCTTAATGCCTGGTCTTCTCAGCAAACTGTACCTTAGCCCTCTATCAATTAGCAATATAGGCAAGTGTTGAGAGGATTCCCGAAAGGTTGGATAATGGGAAGTCAGGCTACTTGGCAATGTCAGAGAAACACCACAGTGAGGGAGGCACCCTACACACTGAAGCAGCTCAACAGTCCCAGTTCCCTTCCTCCTGAGCCTACAAAGACCAAGCCCACTCCCAAACCCTAACCTCAGTGTTAATTCTCAGGAGTTTGGCTCACTTCCCTGAACACACCCAGCATAAACACAGCTTCAGGTCTCAGGGCCTGCCCTGGGTGGTAATCGCCCAAACCCCTCTTATATATCCCAGAGTAAGAGCATAAACCAGCCAACTGACCTTCTTTGTGAACTTGGTGGTTTTGATCTCAACAAAAGCAGCACTGACTGCTTTCAGGTAACTCCGTTGGTTATTGAAAGTCACACGACCAGATCCTAGGACAAGAGACACAAGCTTCCCTTCTAACCAAATTCTGCCAAATGGCTACTCTTTTAAGATGCAGGAAACCCTTTACTATGCATACAAGTGCTGTCCAACAGAAATATAATGTGAGCTACTATGTAACTTTAGAGTCTCCCTCTCTCACCCAGGCTGGAGTATAATGGCGTGAGCTCACTGCAACCTCTGCATCCCGGGCTCAAACAATTCTCCTGCCTCAGCTTCCCAAGTAACTGGGACTACAGGCATAAGCCACCATGCCTGGCTAATTTTTGTATTTTTTGTAGAGACAGAGTTTCACCATATTGCCCAGGCTGGTCTCGAACTCCTGCACTCAAGTGATCTGCCCACCTCAGCCTCCCAAAGTGCTTGGATTATAGACATGAGCCATCACGGTCGGCCCTTATGTCATTTTAAATTTTCTAGTAGCCACATTGAAATTTTAAACAGTAGTGACATTAATATTTGACCCTATATGTTAAAAATATTATTTCCAAATATGACACTAGCCATGTTTTCAGAACTCAGTAGCCACATTTAGCTGGTGGCTACCATATTCGAGATCATGTTGGCAGGAACCACGCAGGAATAGGGGAAGAATCTGCAGATCAAGGTGGGGAAGGGAAGGCACTCCTTCAGTGCAGGCAGAAGCATAGGTAAGGTTGAAGGGCTCAAAGTGGAAGCCAAGAGCAGACAGAACACTTCTCTGAAGGGTAAGCTCAGCAGTTGAACTGAACCTCTCCTAGCCTGGAGGCACTCTGGAGACCTATTAGGGGAGCTGGAAGAAGCCCCATCCTGCCAAGTGCCGCCTCTGCCCCTGCAGCTTCTGAAGTCGCTGTTCTTAATCTGCTGCACAGCATTGGTGAGTACACGATGCTCCTTCCTGACCAGATTCAGTGTGGGTGTGAAGACTAAGCATTTGGGGAAGTGGGTTAGCCACATCTTAATCACAGAGTTCAGGCTCTGCTCCACTTCCATACCCTATCATTGACATTATTTTGCCAGGACATTATTTTGCCAGGTAAACTGACCTCCTGTCTCAGAGGAGCTGATCAAAACCGAGTGGTTAGGCCCACAGACTTCTGAGTTAGGAAAGCACAGGCTATGACCACACTCTGTAGCGCGACTCACTCAGAAAGTCCTCCTCCAGCCTGACCTGGTCTCTGACCTTAGATAATGCCAGAGCTTTTCAAGAACTTTTAATAAAGGAAACCAGGCAAGTTCAGAGACTTGCAGCCTTTTCATGAAACAGTACCTGTTGTCTGTTCCAAACTGGTTTGGCTATGAACTCTGAGTTTCCAACAAAGTTCCTACCTGGCTCTTACTTCTTATCACCTCCTGTAGTCTCTAATCGCTTTTTCTCTCCCTGCATGGGAGATGGGGGGTAGAGGGCTAGATGCAGAGGGGCCAGTACACGTGACCTGACTAGAAGAAGATGCTGCTGCTGGTATTTGCTGATCTGCAGAGCCGGGTCAGGCCTCTCTCCCCACTCCCATGGGGAATTATAACAATCCTGGTCTACTCCCAGGGGCCAACCAAGCTTTCGCACACAGAAGTGGGACACTTACCAATGGGATACTTGTGCTTATCTGTGTCAATCCCGGCATACACCACTCCACCAAATAGGTCGTTCAAGATGGCTGCCAGGGCCTCGGCATTCAGCATCCCATGCAGAGCACCAACAAACACCGTCCTGCTGGGGTCAAGCCTCTGAGATGGGCTCCGGACAAAGTTACTGTCTGCTAATACCCAGGGGATCACCTGCACCTGAAAACCACCCAAAGGTGTATCAGCCCTGGCAGAGAACCACAGATAGAGAGGTGCTTGCATGGCAAAGTGCATGCTCTGGAGATACTGAAGCTGGCTGCTAAGGCCCTTTCAGGGGCGAAAAGGCGTTGTTGCCCAGTCTCGGGCACACAGCCATCCAATCCAGTAAACCACCCTTACTCCACCCCAACTGGAGTTGAATTTTACTGAGTCCGTGTGTCCAGAATGGTAGAAGTGGACACAGTACTTACTCATGCTGGAGAGTAAGCAAAAATGTACCAAAAGAGCCCAGCATTCTATTTCAACCTCCAACTGTGTGATTCCAACAAAGGGCTGTGGACACTGATGAAAAGAGCAGAATCTGAAGTCCTCAAGAAAGGAAGGACTCAGAGTATTTAAAGGCTAGGATCCTGAAGGACAGAGGGGTGAGAGTGCTTATGATATTTGTATGAGATGGTTACTAGCCCCAACCTAGGCTTCAGAGGGTTTGTACCCAGAGCAGTGGAAATGACTGGAGACAGGTCGGGTAGAAAGTCACATACAAGATCCCTGGAGTCTTAGAGGGCTGGGGCTGACCATGTCCTTTGCCTCTGAATCTCCTGAACGTGGAACAAAACCTGGTAGAGCAGGAAGAAGACTCCAGAATGAAGTAAAGATCTAAAAATATGTCTTGAAGCAAGAGGAGATCTGAGGCAGAAACCAGCAAGGAGGAAAAACAGTAGTTTCTAAGGACAGGTGATTAAAACCTAGACAAGGCTGGTGGCGATGAACAGAGAACAGGCCAAGATCAAGGAGATTCTTGAAGAGAAGAGTCTGCAGTAACTCAGACTGCATTAGCAGGATGGGCAAGCAAGGAAGAATCAGGCCTGGTGGGTGTTGGGCCTACACCGTCTTGGGATGAGAGGACCTGGTAGAAGTTACAAGGGAAGCCAATTTCACTGTAAGATGAAAAAGCCCATTTTGTCCACAAAAGAGTTTGGGATTACAGAAAATCCCAAAGGGTAGTCTCACAGGAAGGTGGTGCTCAGGTAGGACATGAGGCTAGAAAGGTAAATCTGGGTCTAAAGTTGAGAGGAGCCACAAAAGTGAGTCATTTAACTGAAGTGGAAAAGAAGGTAGGAGGGAGTCAAAGACTGACTATATTGGTGCTGGCAGGGAGGGGAACACAAAGGAAAAGTAAAAGAGAGGAAAGAGAACTGAATCAGCCTAAACCAATGAATCAAAGCACGATTAAATCCCTATAAGGTGATGAGGAGGAAATGGGAGACAGGATGGTGTCAACAGGGGCACTGAGGAAGGGGAGGGGCTCTGTGATATGCATATGGCCATCTCTGGTTGTGAAAGCAGGAGGGGAGGAAGAAGGAGCATGTTAAGTAAGTCCTAGAACATACTAAGGTGGGATGACTGCCCAAGCTCCACACAGTAAGGAAGCAGAGAAGGTAGGGAAGCTGTGGGTCATTGTGGGAAACTGGAAGATGAGCCTGCCCTCTCACTCAAGCAGAACAAGAGCCAGCTTTGTTACATGGATTTATTTTAAATCTAATGTGATCATCCCAATAAAATAGGCATTTACCATCTTACCCTATAGATTTTTTTAGATAAACTTTAAGGTTCACAGTAAATCTGAGCAGAAAGTACAGGGATTTTCCAAATACTCTCTGCTCCCACACGTGTGTGACTTCCCCACTATCAGGATCCTGCATGAGAGTGGAACATTTGTTAGCACTGGTGCAGCTACACTGATACATCACCACCACCCAAAACCATGGTTTACATCAGGGTTCACTCTTGGTGTTTGTTTTACATTCTATGGTTTGCACCAAAGTATAATGACATGTATCTACCATATACAGAATAGTTTCACTGCCCTAAAAATCCTCTATGCTATGCCCATTCATCCCTTCCTGCTAAACCCCTGGCAACTACTGATCTTTTTACAAAAATAGGCATTTTAGTTTCCCATTTTATAGAAGAGGAAACAAAGTGTTAGAGATATTAAATATCTAGTTCAGTCTCACAAAAGCTGTGTACTCGCAAATCAGATTTTACCACCACACTGATTCCTGAGCTCAAAACTTGCTCTGACAAGTGGTTTTCAAACACCATCCACTAGACCCACTAGGGGATCTTTGCTCAGTTGGAGATTCCTAAATTCCACCCAGAATGATCCAGTAAATCTGGAATAAGGCCCAAGAATCTGCAATGAGATCCCCAGGTGAGATAAACTCCACGTTAGAGACCCATGATGCCAACGACACACAAGGCTGATATTAGAAAAGGCACAGGAAGAGAAAATCTTATGGGGAATAACCACAAAACTAAAGCCCTGAATGAGAATGAAGAAGTGACCCACAGGTGGGTGTGGGCTGAAGAGAAATTCATCCCCACAGACTAGGAAGTCAGAAGGCACAGAAAGGGCAGAACCAGGGAACTGATAAACTGTAGGTTTATCAGTTAAATCAAGTAGAGAAGTTTGCTATTCTCAATTTCATTTCTAAGACAAAAGGTTTAAAACCAAAGTGTTGGCTACAAGAAAGAAGAGTAGAATAAAGGCTGGGAGACAGTTTGATCACCTTGGTCAGGCACACGCATGTGTGCATGCACACACAACCCATTAAGGCTCAAAGGTTTCTTCTTTTTTTTTATGTAATTGAGAGGATATTGCTGTATTTATTGTGAGACAAGAAGCCTTCTCGCTTCAGCAGGAATACTTGTCTGCAGCCTGCCTAGCCACCTACCCCAAGAAAATCCAGTGCCTCAATATGCCAAGAACCTTGATTCAGAAAGGACATCATGCTAACTCACCTCCTTGCAGCGCATCCTTCGGCTGGACATCTTGAAATAATATTCACTCAGACCATCTGGGCTCAGCGGGTCATGAGAGCAAGCCTGAAGCAAGGCTCGGACAGACTTCTCTAGTTCGAACACCAGATACACATACCCTATTCCCAATGACAGGAAAAAAAATCACATTACTATCCCACTCCTCAGCCTTGGCTTTGTGGCAGGGAGTTTCTTCCAAGAAAGAAGGCCTTGTGTATAAGATACATTTTTGTTTTACTCCTGAAAAGTCTTGTTGAGTCGAAGCATTTGCTGTGCAGATGCCCAGGGTTGTGGGCATCCCTCCCACCCTGGGTAAAGGAAAGGATTGGCAAGCTGGGACAGAGGATCCCACCATTACCAAGCTCTCTATCCCAGAATACACAGCATGTTCAGGTCAGCAGAGCCAAGCCTTCCTGGGGCAGGAAGGATGGCAGGTATTGCTTTAAACACCTACTTAAACCATTGGTTCAGTTCAATGAAGATGGGGCAGGGTGAAAATAGCACCTGCTCCTTTCTACAGGGAAGGGATCTCATTTCAGACCAGTGAGGAATCAGATGCTTGGTCCTCATTCCTGCCAACTCCAAAGGGACTTCAGAATTAGGTCAGGCAACAACGTAACTGGGCAGGACAAGCAGGCAAGGGAAAGCTTTTCAAACGCCTTATTTTGAGAGGAAAGGTGCTCCTAGGGTTCAGGTTTAGAGAGAAGCGTACAAGGAAGGGGTTTCAGATGCAGCTCCCACTGCTGTGTAAGTCTGGACAGACGGAACATTAGTTCAGAAGAAACAGAGGGACTTGTTAGGTTGAAGAAAAGAGCTGACAGCTGACAGGTCTGTGCCCTAGAGTGCCCACCATGTTGCCAGCATGCAGCTGTGACATCCCAGCACCCCTAGGTGCAGTTATGTACTAAGGAAGGGAAAAAAAAGCTCCTACCATGTCTTTATTACCTTTAGGCATATTACCTTTGGGAGGACACCGGGGGTGCTTGCCATCCTTACCAGGCCACTCCACACTCAAAGAGCCAAAAACACGGAAGGTGTTAATTAATCCAGCTGCAAAGAGACAGAAAAGAATGGCAGAAGCTGAGGAACCATCCTCCTCAGTAAAGACCCAAACACAGAATCACCAGCATTCTCCTTCCTGGCTCATCCCCCATGACAAACAACTCAGGAATGAATGCTGATCTCCAGTGACAAGTGTAAGCTCCAGAGAGGAGCACTATGGCGATCTATGAAATGCACCTCTCCTCTCAGACGCTCATGTAATAGTGTACTCTGAGTTCTCAGTCAGAGATTCAGCCCCTGGCCTCATTCCAAGTTTCATGCTCCTGAAAGACATGCCCCACCCTTCAACTCTTGAAGCAGAAAGTCTTAAAGACAGCTCACCTTCTGTAATATCCCAAGGAACACCTCCTAGAAACACCTTGCAAGAGTAGATGGGGTTCTTATAGTTCCGGGGAGGAAGCTGGCCACTCCAGGTACAGGTGGCTTCATTCACAGCTTTGGTAGAAGCCAAAGAGGGAAACAGGGAAGGGTTAGAGAATCAACAAAGTCACCACCCTTCCCTAAGGTGAACTTGTCCAGCAAGAACCTGTTGGCTGGGCGCAGTGGCTCATGCCTGTAATCCCAGCACTTTGGGAGGCCAAGGTGGGCGGATCACTTGAGGTCGGGAGTTCGAGACCACCCTGGCCAATATGGTGAAACCCCATCTCTACTAAAAGTACAAAAAAATTAGCTGGGCGTGGTGGCTCGTGCCTGTAGTCCCAGCTACTTGGGAGGCTGAGGCAGGAAAATTGCTTGAACCCAGGAGGCGGAGGTTGTAGTGAGCTGAGATCATGCCACTTCACTCCAGCCTGGGTGACAGAGCAAGACTCTGTCTCAAAAAACTCACTGGCTACAGTCCTTGCCCAGATGCCTGAGAGAATATCCATGATTATTCTGAAAAGCAAGAAACCTATGTCTCACCAATCCACTCAATCAAGTATGATAATCCTATTTTGCTAATTCTGTCCTCACTAAAATTGAAAGGAATACCAAACCAGATGTTTAGGGTAAAAATTCATACCCCATGTTATTTTAAAACATACAACTAATATGCTAACCACAAAGCAGTTTTATCTTGTTACTGCTTACAGTACTAATTCATAATCACTTGAAAGTAAACAGAGCAATACAACATCCTACAGGCTTACTGGTACAAATGGGCCTTCTCCCCAGTGTTCAAATGATAAACATTCTATTCTGTTTTCCTGTCTTGGCTGTGAATTCAATTACAGAAGTTAGGACACTGCCAATAAAAACCAGCATTAGCAACCCAGTAAGACAAGAGTATCACAACTGTTCCAAGCCAGACTCATCTTTATAGCACCCAAACAGACAATGCGCCTTCCTTGATGCCAACATGGTAAGGTAATGAATTAGCCCCGAACCCCTAAGCTTTCTATTTATGTCAACCATAAGTTTGTCCAAACCTATTGTGACGTTTCTCTGACTCAAAGGCCACATTAAGAAACCCTTCTTGGCTGGGTGTGGTGGCTCACACCCATAATCCCAGCACTTTGGGAGGCCAAGACAGGATTATCACTTAAATCCAGGAACTGGAAGAGCAGCCTGGGCAACAAACTGAGACCCTGTCTCCACACACAAATTTCTTAATTAGCCAGGTACAGGAGTGTGCACCTGTAGATCCAGACACCCAGGCAGATCCCTTGAGCCCAGCAATTTGAGGCTACAGTGAGCTATAATTTCACCACTGCACTCTAGCCTGGGTGAGAGAGAGACCTTGTCTCTTTTTTTTTTTTTTTTTAAGACAGGGTTTCACCATGTTGGTCAGGCTGGTCTTAAACTCCCGACCTCAGGTGATCCGCCCGCCTTGGCCTCCAAAGTGCTTGGATTACAGGCGTGAGCCACTACGCCCGGCCAACCTTGTCTCTTAAAAACAAACAAAAACCCCTACTTGCTGAATAGGTTAGGAACTATCTTCTGTTTGCCCCTATTTCTAGAGGATGGTTCTTGGTGACCAGAAGTTTTTATCAGTTTAGCTTTTTATCAGTTTTCAATCCTGTCCCCACTGTACCTTTCCAAATCAGAAACTGACCTTAGTGGGGACTGGCTAGTTCTTGTCCATTTATTTTACCCTCCTCTTTCAGCAAAGAGGCAGACAACCAATGGAAGGAACTATCATTTTCATTCAGGACAAAGATATGGAAGGATATTTCCTAAAAGAAACAGGCCCCAGTGTGTTGCTACACAGCAAGAAATTGGGCAATGTCACTAATCTTTCATGACAAAAACAAAATATAATGGTCTCCTCCAAAAGCATGGTAATGTGATTTCATAAGAAAACAATGGTACCAGAGAAAGCACAAAGATCAGCTGCCAAAATCATTAGGTGAACAGGGCAGTAGCACTATCAGAGGAGAATGAGATCCAGCCCAACTCTGAACAGACAGACAGAGACACTGAAGCCTATGGAAACAAATGGAATGGAGAAACTAACATTAACTTAGTCATCAAATTCAGGACCTCAGAAGAGCCAGTGGTTAATGAACAACTCCCTGAAGCATTAGCAGACAAAGATGAAAAACAAATTTAATACATATTTAAGATGATTTGTTTTTTAAACCTTTTTAAATATATGGAGATGGGTCTCACTATGTTTCCCAGGCTGGGCAACTCCTGGGCTCAAGCCATCCTGCTGCCTCTGCTTAAGTGCTGAGCCACCCAGGCCAGCCTAAGATAATTTAAATGTCAGAACCTTAAGGATTCCTGAGACCAGTACATCTGGTGACATCCTTTACCTTAGAGGTTGACAAATAGACCCCTCCCTCCCCAGTGTATCCCTGAGTGTACCAATCAGAAAGCCTCAAGGAAGACAGCTCCAGCATGACTTGTGTCTGACTGTCTTTGAATTAGAACAGGGAGAGGGTGGACAAAATTCTGGACATCCCTTCCAGAGTTTCTCTTGAGGACATCCACCCGTGGAAGAGGTAAAAGCAAGGGTAGCATACAGCCAGTCTCCATGGAAGGGCACGAGTGGGAGGCAGAGCCAGCCTCTTGTGCTGTGACACATGCGTGTGCCAGATTATCTGCTTCTTTCCTCTCCACTCAGCCTCAAGAAATTCCTGAGTTTGTTCCCATCAGTACTTACTCCACAGAAATATAATTATTTGCAGATCTGGGGACTTCACCATGCAACCAAGCCTCCTCTAGAAGGTTCACACGCATGTGAACTAAGGTCACTTCCTCTCTGCTCCCAGAATGAGGCCTCAGGCCCCACACATGCTCAAGGCACACTCACCTGCAGCTTGTCGGTGCAGCCTGGCCTCTCTCTCTATGCTGAAGGGGTCTTTGGGAGCTTCAAGGAGGTCCCAGGATGGCCACACAGAAGCTCCTGGCCATCGCTTTGAAGCACTGGTTGGGGAGGGAGTGACTGCAGCAAGAGCAGCTTGCTCTTGGTCCATCCGAGACCCTACCCCCATCTTTAAAGGGTCTCTGGGACCACCCCCTGTCAGAGACAGGAAGGGCAGAGGTGGGGAAATGCGAAGGCTTGACTAGGGGAGGAAAAAGGAAGATAGGGTTTTAAAGGATAGTTTCGTTATAAAGTAATAATCATATTATAGAAATTATTAAAAATACCCAAGACATTTAGCATTTGATATGTACTCTTTTAGACTTTCTTCCTGAGCAATTTTGATTAGTTGTAGTTATACTATAATTTAAACAAATTCTCCTTTTCTCCTCATTCAACCTTTTTTTCCATATTTCCAGTCTTTACAACCATTTAAAATGCATTTATCATATTCTATTTAGGGAACAAGGTACAGCTCACTGACCCATACTCCTCCTGTTACATATATACTTTCCAAGTTTTCAGAACCATAAATAAAAATTAAGATGCACCTTCTTAATATTTTGTGTTTTCTCCACATGTTCTCACTCATAGGCGGGTGTTGAACAATGAGAACACATGGACACAGGGAGGGGAGCACTACACACTGGGGTCAGTTGAGGGGAAATAGGGGAGGGACGGTGGGGGGTGGGAAGCTGGGGAGAGATAGCAAGGGGAGAAATGCCAGATGTAGGTGATGGGGAGGAAGGCAGCAAATCACACTGCCACGTGTGTTCCTATGCAACAATTTTGCATGTTCTTCACATGTACCCCAAAACCTAAAATGCAATAAAATAAATGGGAAAAAAATATTTTGTGTTTTCTTTGGTCAGATTTCTAGAAAGTCAAATGCCAAAAGTGCTATCTATGAGGGCTCTGTGTTATATCATAGAAGCTACACTCAGTCAGATCTGAATTAAAATCCTACCTCTGCTAAGTACTTAAAAAATTTTAAGTTATTACTTAATTTTGAGATATCATACATCAAAGTACATAAATGACATTGTTGAAGGCTAAAGAAAGTACCTCATGTAGGTAAAGAAACAGAACACTGCAAGGGCCCTCAAATTTACTTTTAAAATTAAGTGTTTTTCAGTACTCTTGGAATAACTAGTAAAATCAAAGTCCTGAGCTCAGGTCCTAAAATGTATTGCTCGATGGGTTTTCAAAGCATTCTTTATCCTGTTAAGGATGAGAAACTCTACAAATGCCCACAATGGGCTCCTCTCCTCCCCTCATCCCACCTCCCAGCCTACATTCCAGGGGACAGGCATCCCACAGATATTGTGCCCTTCTTCCCCTTGGAGACACACAGGCAACTCCACCAACAACCCCCCTTTCCCAAATGAGTTACATACAATCAAATCTGAGAGATGATCTGATCCAGAGCTGAAGCCACTGGTGTCTGAGTCAGAGGGACTGCTAGATCGAGAGTCCAGGATAGGCCGGGTGTCCAGGCGTGATCCTCTGACAGAGGGTGCTGGAAACTTGTCCAAGTCAGACCCAAGGGGATCCAGAGGCAGGAAGCTCAAGGGGGGTTTTCCTAGGACATTTCCCAGTGGGTTATGCAGCATGCTCAGTACTAGGAGGACAAAAAAGGAAACCTCATGACCTCTTAGTTTTCTTTGCAGCCAACAGCCTCTTTCTTTTCCCACAGCCACCCAACAAGAGACACTAAAGGCAAGACCATTAAAAGCATGCCAACAAAACAGAATATAACGAACAGATATGTATCTGGCTCTGAGATGTGGCCACAAGGGACTGTTAGAGGAAGTTACAGGCTGACTGAAGACCGGAGTTCCTGCTATTACAGTAGCAGCAAAACTGCTGGGTTCTGCTACACAGGCTTAAAGGTCAATGCCAGCATTTGGGAAACTGTCACTGGGAACCCTGGTCACGGCTATTAATACCTGAATACACCTAGAGCACAGTTAAAAATCCCAAACCATACTTCATCTTTACTCCCTGTCAATTTGTTTATTAGAAGAATTCCCCTTTCTGATGCTATATAGCTAAAATATAGAATTTCAGGCCACATCCCAAAAATCTGGTATAGCATAAGCATACCACTTCATGTGAGAGGTTCACTTATAGAAACTTCTAGCATATGCAGATTCTCTTCTATGCACCCTCGAACTTGAAATGTTTAGGATGGAAGCAGAATGACGTAGTTAAGCCCATTCTTTGAGTTAAGGCAAACTTGGGATGAAATCCTGTGTCTGACACCACTTGTATATGGCTATGAGCTCCAGGAAGCTCACTTAGCTTCCCTGATCCTCCATTTTCTCACTGGCATCTAGGGTGGAGTACCAACTATTTCATAACATTGTTAGGACAGTTCGATAATTAGACAGCAGATGGAAAGAGCTCACCAGAGTAGCACCCAGCACACAATAAATATTTAAATATGAAAGATAAAAAAACAGCAACATTTTCCACACTTGGCCTTGGGGAACCTAAGGCAAAGCACATCCTCCATCCATGAGGATGAGGAACAAGAGGGCTGTGCCATGGAGCTATGGTGCTAAATCTAGGGAAGAAGCCTTAATTTAATGGTTTTTTTTTTTTTTCCATCTGAAAAATGAGACCTCAAAATGGCTGAGGTAAAACCAAAATAATATGTGTAAATGCTCAGTAACTACCTATGATTGGTCCCACTACAGCCCTGACTAGCAATGAAATTAAACAGGTCACCCAGAGCTGGTATTCTCCCAGGCCTCTAAGTCAGTCTGAATGCTCTGGAAATGGAGTCCCAAGAAGCAGGAATAAATCTCTCAAGCCTGAAATCAAAGTGAATGCATGCTTTCAGGGTGCAAGACACAAATGCCATTGATGAACCATATGCACAAGATCCCAAACGTGTGTTAATATGGGACCAGAGCAGTCCACTCTCCTTTAGTATATGACCTCCCCTTTTGGATAAGATATGGTAAGCGTATCCTTAACATTTAACGCAGGGTAGATACATTTATCTAGTTATTATTTTATTGTGGTAAAAATATCTTTAATTTTTAAAGAGACTGTCATAATACTGTTTTCCAAAGTAGATGTACTATACCATTTTACATTCCCACCAGCAGTAATGAAAGTTTCAGTCTCTCTACAACCGGGCCACCACCTGGTTTGGTCAGTCTTTTTGTTTCTAGCTAGTCGTATATGGATGTTGTGGGATGCAGGTAGGGTAGAGCCACACCACATCCAGCAAGGAGTTAGTTTAGCATTCTGTTTTCAAGTAAACATTCCTAACTTTGAAACTGCCTTTTGAAGCAGTTTTCAAAGCTCTAGCATTTAACTGTATGCTGAAACTAAGTGTCTCAAAATGCTTGGATTCTGATAACCATTAGAAATAATCTTTGACAAACTTCTCAAATAATCATTGGGCCAGGCATGGTGGCTCACACATGTAATCCCAGCACTTTGGGAGGCTGAGGTCGGTGTATCACCTGAGGTCAGGAGTTTGAAACCAGCCTGGCTAACATGGCGAAACCCTGTCTCTACTAAAAATACAAAAATTAGCCAGGCGTGGTGGTACACACCTATAATCCCAGCTACTTAGGAAGCTGAGGCACGAGAATTGCTTGAACCCTGAAGGCAGAGATTGCAGTGAGCCAAGATCGCACCACTGCACTCCAGCCTGGGAGACAGATCAAGACTGTTTTCAAAAAAAAAAAAAAAAAAAAAAAAACATTGACAAACTCCTGCCTGAAAGAAATCCAAAAGCAAAGCCTGTAGAGTCCATGCCCTCAGAAGGCAGAATATATGAAGATTTTATTCAATGTTTCTCCCTAATGCTGCAAAGCCTGGCAAAAAGGGACTGTGAAAAATCAACAGATTATATGCATGGGTCTTAAAAGTGTTACCAATTACCTGGAGGGCCTCATCCTTTTCCATATTTCACAAAAACAAGTTAGGGTGATGAACAATGAGGTAACAATTCAAATCACAAAGAACCTTGACACCAGGTTAAAGAGTTTTTATTTTATCTTATTGTCATTTGTTTTTTTGAGACAGGGTGTAGCTCTGTCACCCAGGCTGGAGTGCAGTGGCTCACTTCAACCTCAGTCTTCCTGGGCTCAAGTGGTCTTCCTACCTCCGCCTCCAGAATAGCTGGGACTACAGCCATGTGGTACCTACCACATCCGGCTGATTAAAAAAATTTTTTTTCATAGAGAGAGGGTCTCACTATGTTGCCCAGGCTGTTCTTGAACTCCTGAGCTCAAACAATCCTTGTGCATCGGTCTCACAAAGTCCTGGGATTACGAGTGTGAACCACTGCACCCAGTTGATTTTATCTTAAGGGCAACTGAGAGACACAGAAAAGGTGGTCTGCAGAACTATTGTGGGGATAGCAAAGAAGGCTGACCAAGGGAACTAAGGAAGAGTACCAGTAGGAACCAGTGCCCAGCAGAGAGGAAAACTAAGTTGGACTTAAAGGTACCTGGATGGACACTGGACCGATACAGAGCTATGATTTTGTTCCCTCAAGGGGGTATGAAGGAAGAAATGGGACAACAGAGTTGATGATAACAGCAACAAAGGAAATGAAGAATGGATTGTGCATTATAGGCTAAAGGCAGAACAAATTCAATAGATTGGGAACAAATAAATGGAAAACCAGAGATTTCAATAGGCTGATAGCTGTAAGAAGAACGAAGATGGCACACAAGATAAATAGAAGAGGTGGGACGGTGAAGATTAAGAGTCCTGAGGATGGCAAGGTCCAGAGTATGGAACTAGAGGTGGCTGACTTAGAATGTGTTAAGTTTGAAATATTAGTTAAGTCATTCATGTCGACACTAAAGAGACCTATGGTGATTAATGGGCCTGGAGTTAAACACAGAGATTTTCAGAGACCTGGGATAATGAGTAGGCTCTACTTGGCATAGCAGCATCCTAAAGGAAAAGTCTTCAGCTAAAGCAGAAGCCAGAGGGAGCATTCACCAGTGACAAGGAGGAGGACAGTTTGTTAACCCTGGAAAAGAGAAGTTTCAAGTGGCCCAACAGAGAGCTCTGAGAGTTAAGGGAGAAACAGCATAAAGCAGTCTGCCAGAAAAAATAGTCAAGAGGGGATGCTGCCCCAAAGGCTTGTGTCTGAAAACACCAAAGATGACAAAGTATGGGCCCTGGTAACTGTCATCACCCAAGGTTTTTTTTTTAAACATATGTTGGATAGAATCAAAAAAGCAACATGGTAAGCACTACAGACCCCTTTTCTCATTCACATCAACTTGTATTGACTATTGTGTTGGTACATCTGTTTTACCAGCCACAAACTCATCTACCTCCACTAACTTGAAAATTCTCTAGGCCGGGCGCGGTGGCTCACACCTATAATCCCAGCACTTTGGGAGGCCGAGGTGGGTGGATCATGAGAGGTCAAGAGATCGAGACCATCCTGGTCAACATGGTGAAACCCCGTCTCTACTAAAAATACAAAAATTAGCTGGGCATGGTGGCACATGCCTGTAGTCCCAGCTACCCGGGAGGCTGAGGCAGGAGAACTGCTTGAACCCATTGAACCCAGCAGGTGGAGGTTGCAGTGAGCCGAGATCACGCCACTGCACTCCAGCCTGGGTAACGAGCGAAACTCTGTCTCAAAAAAAAAAAAAAAGAAAAAAAGAAAATTCTCTAGTGTGTCTAGAAGATATCTTGAGGCTTTGTCAAATTCCTGTACCAAAGCTAAGAATTATCTCTGTAGTGATCCTTTAATCTGACAATAAACCTACCTAAGCAGAAAACGCGTGACAACCCACACTAGTCACTAACAAACTCTACTTCCTTAAGTGCTCACAGTTCATGGTGGTTCATCTGTTCTACAAATCTGGACCAGGTTCAGTTAAGCTACTACCAACTTAGTGAACTTCTGGCATGCGCCAACCACTGTGTTAGAAGCATTTTAGCTAAACAGTCTTCACCAAGTCCTAAGAAGTGGATATTATTACTGCATCTTAACAAAAGGAAACCAAGACTTGGGGCAGTCAAGTTTGTAAAAGTTAACAGCTAATAAGTGACAGTGAGACTGGATTCTTTCCCACTCCAAGTACCATTCACTAGCTAATTTTTTGTTTTGTATTGTTTTGTTTAATCTTTAGGACTTTACATCTGTTTGTCTTCACGTTCCTGGCACCTTTCCTTTGTCTGAATCCTTTAAGATCATAAATACAAACTAGTGATGTCACCTACCAGAAGTTCCTGCTTTAGGACCTAGAATATTCAGGTCTTAAATCTTATCTAGGGCCTCGACACCATAGGAACTCATTAAAAATGCATTCTGGGTCGCCTCGAGACCTGACTCAGAATCTCCATTTTAAAAAGATCCCCAGGAGATTTGTGTACACATTAAGTTTGAGAAGTACTGATCCATGCAAACCTGAGGCCTGCTACTTCAAATTCCTCATCAATTGCCTTATCACACCCAAACATCTTTCATATATAATTATTTCCTCTGACTTAAAGACTAGAGGTTATGGCCTAGTGCAGAGGTTCACACCTGTAATACCACCAACTTGGGGGACTGAAGCAGGAGGATTGCTTGAGGCCAGGAGTTCAAGACCAGCCTGGGCAGACCTATCTCTTAAAAAA